GCCCTGCCATGGCTGCCACGCACTGCCAGTTCAAGCCACCCACGACCCTCGCTCCACTGGCTCAGCACCCTCCCCACCCCTGGGCCCCACAGGCTGATATGCCCTGGACCCCACACACCCCTAGGGACAACTCTGGTGGTGGGTATGTGGGGTGTGGGAGCATATGGGTGTGTATGTGGATGTGGGTGCATATGGGGTTTGCAGGGGACTGGGTATGGGGGCTAAAGGGTGGCTGGGGTGTGTGGGGGTCTGCATGTATGGTAGTGGGTACATGGGGGGGGTGCAGGTGTATGATGGGATGTGTGTGGGACTTGCCACCCTCTACCCCTCCTGCTCCTGGCCCCAGGGTACTGGCATGGGCCCCACGCTGCCATGTGCCAGCAATGCAGTCGGGAGCCATGTGGTGCTGGACCAGCTGGCAGTGGGCAGGAAAGCAGGGAAATGGCAGCTACAGGTCTACAGGAAGGGGCAGAAAATGGGTGCATGGGAGCGCAACAACAGCTAGAAGTGTGGGGGCCCCACCAGCACTGGCCCCAGAACACTGGCACAGGCCCCATGCTCCTGCTCAGCTGTCGCTATGCTCCCGCACGCTCACTCACTGCTCCTTGCCCCTGCCTGTAGCTACCATTCCCCCGCTTTCCTGCCTGCTGCTCCAGCACCACATGCCTCCCAGCTGCATGGCCATGACATAGGACTCAGCAGGAGCTAGCACAGCTCCAAGGACTGGGGCTATTACCTATGATCCTCCTCTGCCCTTCCCCCCGGCATTCTTATCTGAGTTTCCTTCTCAGGTGGACAGAGGAAGGAACAGTCCCAGTGTCCCAGGCCAGAAGCCTCTGGTGGGCAGAGGCTTCTGGGGACAGGGGCCTTGGGGGGGCAGAGCTGGGCAGGCCTTGCTGCAGGGCTGCTGGGTCCTGCTGCTGTCTCCCCTTGGCTCCTACTGACCTGACTCCTATCCTTTTTGGACAGGCAGGCAGATCAATACTAATTTTCTAAATTATTTAGGGGCTCCATGGGCCAGATCCAACCCCTGGCTTAGAGTAAACATACTAAGATGAAAAATCAATGAATGAGGGAGCCACACACACACCACACCAGTGCAAGCTGGGTCTGATGATGATTACGACAACTGAGAAAGTTCCCTAACTTTTTAGTCAGAGTACAGCATGCCTAAGCAAGCATGGGCTCAAAGTTATAAGCTGGTATATGTCTTACAAAAGCTGAATATTAGTACAAACCATGTTAAATATTTGCAATAACTACTACTTATTTCTAGGCCAACCAACATAGCAAACCAGCTCCTTTCTCAGAAAAGGAAACTTCTTAGGAAAATGTACTAGGGCTTCTCTTTTCCTCCCTCTGGTTATTTTTTTACTGGATATTATGGACAAAATTAATTGAACACTATACATCAAAGAGCTACTCCTTTGCTGCACTAACGTTTATCAGCTTCAGTACACACATACCTGGATTTTGATCTTGACCGAGAGTGAGATTCAGAATGTTTGGATGCCCTCGATGGACTGCGAGATCCTGACCTGCTCTCCGATTTTACACGAGCAGGACTCCCAGCTGGAGATTTTGACTGGGAGCGAGACTCCTAACAAAAAAAACAGTATTACAAATGGCATTGGCTGCATATATGCCTAACTCCTAACATTTACAGTACAATAATTACATTATATTGATTGCTCCTGAAAAACAAATGGTTAGGCAACACCCTCCAAAACAAATTTCACTTTGTTAACCCACTGTTAATACTGTATGCTCTCCTCAAATAGTTCCCTACTTGAACCAGATCACCAATTCGCTATTAACTAAGTAATCATGCAAATTCATCTACAACTTGATCATACAGACACTGGAACATAAACCATACATTTACTTAACCTAGGACCCATTCATTCTTCCAGATTCTTTTAATTCTACTTCACTCTTGCTTTCTACTTTTCTTCATTCTTCATTGAGTTTTTCATTTTTCATACTTCGTGTATTCTTCCCCAATTCAAACAATTCATTATAGCCTTAAAAAAAATTCAAGTGCTTCTATCTGACCAATCTTCTGTTCAATTTTTTCCCCCATTCAATTTTAATTTTCTGATCTTTAATACTTTTCATTAGCCTTCTTTTATCTTGATTTATCTTCCACATTCTTGGAAAAAACTCTTCAATTTCTTCACGAACATTAACCTTAATGGAAAAAGAACATTTAGTATATTTAAGCACGTGGGGATTATAAAAACTCTGCTGGAGTTCAGAATGTTATCTACCAAAATGGACAAGCCAGCAGGTAAAGTGCAAGTAACTATTTTATAAAAACAATTTTTTGAAAAAAATCTTTAAAATTGTATAAGTTTGTAGGATTTAACAACGAATTTACTGAATTTATCTATTTTTTACTATATTTTCGAAGTTACCCTCCTCCCATTTCAGACTATGTAATTTTCCTCATTTTTTTAGAAATTCTGTTAGATACACAAATATATTATCAATTAATTAGCGCAAAATATATTAAGATGTTCTGATATAAAATGTATATTTGTCTCAAAACATTGAGTTTGCACTTCTCAACATAATCAGCTGGATTGCTGGTCTAATAAAAATTTACTAAATTATGTTTTGTTTAACCAGCTGGTTAGAGCACAGCTTCCCAGTCAAAATCCATCTATGTACATACTTACATAATACATGCACATAGATATGCACAACGCCCAAACTAAAAAGTTCGTGATTCTTCAACAATTTTCTTCCTCATTGTTATCCTGTTTTCCTTGAGTATTAAATACAATTTTGATACTGTAGTTCAAAGCAATCCAGTAGAGACAGGAAGGAACATTTTCACTTGCATGAACATGCAAAGAGAAATAGCCAGGAAAACAAGCAAACAAAGAGCAAATGGGGACTTTTTTTTTTTTCCTAAAAACTTTTTTCAGGGAACTTGGTTATTGATGGCCTAAACCTGCCTAAAATAGTTGTACATTTTTAAACATAAAAGTATTAAAAATGCACAAATAAATGGAACGAAGGCACAGGAAATGTCTACTCCCTTCCAAGGGTTTCCTAGCCCACCCCAATCCTTATTTTGTTCTCGTTTTCATAATTTCTCTTACTATCAATTACACACTGATTATTGCTACATTTTTCTAACTGTATCTCTTACTCTGCTAATATTATAGCCTGTTTCCAGATCAGTCTTTCACTCTACAGTTTACCTAATCAGTTCTCTAGTGTTTTCTTCCACCCCCTCTAAAACTATAGTCAATTTTCATAGGTTTTCTTAACCTTAGTTTCCTTTAAAAGCACAAAAAAGGAATAGTTGAAACAGAAGTTGCAGTTCTCAATTCATCCCCCAACAGTACCTGTACAAACTTCCCCATGGTAATTAATCAAGATTCCAAGAACAAGAAAGGAGATGCCATCAATGGTACCTGACACTGATATCAAAACATTGATAAAAAGGGTAAAACTGCATGTCTATAACCTGTTTGTTACAGTATGAATTTAGGATTATACACTCTCATGCAGTAGAATGTCCACTGATGACAATCTCAAGATTTGCACAGAAATCAAGGGATACATGAAGGCTCAGTGTCTCATTCTCATACTTCTCTCAAAATATGCTCCCTTTTATACCAACCACTATTCCTGCCTTTTCTTTCCCTTTTTCTACTCCTTCATTGTATTTGACATTTGTTTCTTCCCTCCAATAATACTCAATTTTTGTGTGCATAATTCCTCAGTCACTTTTCTAGTCAAAATGAGAAAAAAATGAAACATTCAATATTGTAGTCGTGTCCTCGCTCATTTTTTAAACTATCCCTTTAATCAAAGGGAAATGGGAAAGAGTCCATTCCTTCATCACTGTTTCAGAGTACCTACAAAATGAGGATGATAACACTCTACTGGCTATATACCCTACTCAGATTCAGACGTTTGTTCTAAAAAAGTGAGGGTTAAACATTTTCAGTTTTAAACAGCGAAAACAGATGTTACTCCATCTTAAATATGTCCTGTAGTCTACAGAAATGTACTTTGGGGTATAGTTTGACCCATAGGCTATATGCCTGACTCTTGTTTTAAGGAGTGATTCAGGGTTCCTGCCCAAACAAATTTAAGCCTCTGCTGCAGTAATGAAAGAGATTCCAACTTACCATTTGTGACATGAATGCGTATATTTAAAGAACTCATTTACTGTAGACCAGGGGTTCCCAAACTGTAGTACATGTACCCCTGGGGTATGCAGGAGAAATTGTGCAATGGTGGATTTAATTTGCATTATAATAGTAATTGGCACTAAGGGGTTCAAATATAAACCATATAC